GCCACTGTGTGGGAGGTTTTGAAAATGCAGAGCTTACTCATCTTCACGGGACTGATAAAAAACACCTAGGCAACAAAGCTTAAGGGAAATAAAATGCCGAAAGTAAACTATTGCATGGACTGCAAAGTCCATGAGAGGTGAAAAGGGACAGTTTCTAGTCTTTTGGTGACTGGCTTAAAGCAGCCTGTCCTCCACTAGCCATCTGGGATGGTGAACAGTACGTGGTAGTACATGCAACAGTACAGAGCAGAGGGCCTGGATTCACACGCTGAGCTCATTCACATGGGGACAGGCAGATAACTTACAGTCAAGCTTGCAATCAAACCTGGCACCAGTTAGTACCCTGCTGGTCTTTTCACTAGTAGTGGAAGTCCAGAAAGGACTCTTCAGGTCACCCCACTGCTACTTAAGAAGGGAACGGTGGTGCTTTGCACCAACAACTTGCTTTGTCCAGATCAAAACAGGGCTTCACACTCCAAAATCACCAATACAATCACCCTCTCTGAACCCGGGCTTTTAAAAGTGAGACCCTGATGGTTCTTAAATACTTGCAGGTGCTTGATCAGAAGTGCTGATTGTGAAGCTATGGGGTATGGGAAAATCAGACTGAGGACATGACTGAGTACCTATAAGAGTAAAGAAGAACAGCCATTGAGTTCCCCTGACTGCAGGTGATCATCATATTCCAGAAAAACAGTCACAAACTACATCTGCCATCTCAGAACGTGATCTAGTTATGTATCAATCAAAAAGAATAGATTATTGACATTTAACAGGGAAAGACAACTATTATATCAAAAATGGTATAAAATGGTATTTATGAAAAAAAATGAAGAAAAATGCTCCAATTACTTTGGTTTAGAAATGAATACAAGTCAATTGATGTATTTAATCTGCTGACATAAAAGAGAAAAATTATGCATAAGATCTTTTCCCCTGTAAACGAATTCAGTATAAGTGGAGAAAATCCAAGACCCCACACCCTCTTCTAATATTTAAATATACTTGAAAGAATTGGTAAGAGAAGCAATTTGATGATTTGACTGAATTTTTGTTCTTCTCCAGTCTGCCAATTCTTCTGTTATACAAAAGTCAGATTCAAATTTGTATAATTTTAAAAGTCACACAGCCATGTCCCTAGCTGGAGGCTATTTCAGCTACAGAGGGCTGTAAGTTGAAGATGCAATAGCTACGTGTTTGTTCTTCTCCTGGAAAAGAAGCTCCCCCTGAGGGACTGCAGCAGACGAGCTATCAATTAATCCCTCTTTGTAGACAAAGTTCTAAGTGTGAAGGTGAGGAATACTGAGTCATCCCTTGCGGAGTTGAAAACCCTAGTTGATTCTGGCATAATTAAGTTTCCTCTTCACAGAGAAAGAGAACAAGAAAAACAGCAGAAGTGAGGAACAAAACATGCAGGCTACAACAAAGTTTTTTTAACATGCACAGTTACAAATTTCTGTACCATTTTATAACTGTCAAGTCTTAATTAAAATACTACATTTCTCTGACTCATGGTCAGGATGTAGGATGCATGTACATTATTCACATGAATATTAATCTCTTTCCAGGTAGGAGGCTGAATTGCTCAGGGGATTTATAATCACATCACATATGGAAACTTCTTGGTGTGTCTTCTTTTTTTTTTTTTGTTTTCTTTCAAATTTCAGCCAGATCATTAACAATTAAAAGTCATAAGAACCACTTCAGTAGTCTATGTGAGAAGAACGCAGCCATTCAGATCTGTGAGCTGGAGCTCCATGTGTAGTCATGAAATGATATGGCACATTGAGTAAGAGGAACACAGAAATGTTCTGGAGGCATCACTTTGAACATTAAGGACATAACTACCTGTTCTAACACGCTGGAACAAAAAAGGATAGTCCTCTTGAAAGCTTCTAAGTAATGACAGAAAATGGAAAGATGTTAATAGGGTGACCAGACAAATGTAATCTTTTACCAACAGATACCAACAGAGTTTCCTGGTTAAACTATCATCATCGAAGCAATCCTGATCCTTATCTGTAAGCCTGTATTTGTATTACTGAGAAAAAGGCTTTAAGGACCAGGGAGTTCAGGAAGCTGTTAACAAATAAAGAAACAGCATTAACAGAGAGAAATCACAAGCTGTCCCAGTGAAGAGGAGGGAAAGGACTTACTGAGAAACCTGTTCCTCTCCTAGGAGGGCTTGAACTCTCTTCTTGAGGAAGTTTTTAAGGACAAAAAAGATTGCACAGGAAATAAATCAAAAGGCTAAAGCATAAAATTAAACACTTAGCAGTGAACACACAATATGACAAATAAAGGATGGATGGAACTCACAGGAAGACAAAGCTATCATCGGGTGGCATTACCGAGGCTGGAACATTTGAAGCCTTAATTGCTTCAGGTCTTCACTGAGAGAGGCAAGTGCAGTCAGGCAGCTGACAAAATTAGTAGTGGTTTGTTGGGGTTTTTTAAAGGAAAGAAGTTTAGAAAGTTATAATAAACAGGCTGCAGTAAAGGAAAACAAACTGAAAGAAAGAACTGCCTTATCTGCTTGTTGAGTCAGCTGGCCCTGATAAATCTTCATCCCCAGGTTCTAGGTTGCAACACTGACAATCAGTAAGCACTAAGAACTCAAAGATTTCAAACAGGCAAAGCAAGTATTTACGCTTGTAAAAAAAAAATAAAGTAGTGATTAAAAATAGTAAGAGGAGAATTTGGAAAATTCTGAAAGCAGTAACTTGACATACACAGACACACCAATTTCCTGCAGAACAAATAATCAAATTATTTGCAAATCTTCTAGAACACAAAAAGGAGAGAAATAACTGTGAGCACAGTTTCATCAAGAGTAGAACTGTGTCAAATGCACTTAACTTCCTTCTATGACAAGGTAAATTAGTCTAAGAGGTAGAGAAAGAATAGTAGAAATTTTGTATCCTGAGATCTGGATGAAGCTGTTAAAAGAGATGCAAACACACTGGGAAAAAAAATTATACTCATGGCAGCCAAGCTCAAAGAATGTATCAAGCAAGGTCCCTCAGGCAACTCTGGTAGTACACAGCCTGGCAGCTTGAGTACCACACAGTTTTGCCTCATACAACTTGAATGATTTGTTCACGTAAAAGAAGAGGAAGAGATAGACAGCAAAGTGCTTAAGAAATGAAAAAAAACCCAATTCTATTAAGAAGAAATGCATAGCCATATTCAGCTGTAATCCAACGTAAATATAGGCTAGGGAACAACTGACAAAGCCCTTTTTCAGAAGGAACCTCAGCTTTGGAAAGCATAAAAGGGTAACTATGCATCAGTGATAGCCTGTGACAAAAAAAGCACCATCACAGTAGGACAGCTGATATCTTGGGGTATCAGGATCACAGACAGGAGAGCAAAGTCTTTGTTGCTCTGTAGTGCACCTGAACAGGCTCTCAGCTGGGTTTACGCATTCAGCGTAATTTGGACACCGTGTTTCAGGAAAACCAAAGAAAGGAGTAAGAGGGAGAAGAAAAAAAAGACAGGCTGATTAAAAGAGTGCCTAAAAATCCTGGCAAGAAAAGGCTAAAGAAAAAGGGTCATCTAGTGAACATGAGCACAGTGAGTGTGGTTTTGTCTTGCTTTTGCAGCAGCCCTCTACTATTCCAGTATTCCTTGTCCTAATCATGAGAAATGGATTTATATGGCACAGGAGAGACCTAGAGCAGAAGTTAGGAAAAGTCTTTGGACAGTAAAGGCAGCTAAGCCCTGGAGCAGGCTCCTGGAAAACTCCATTTCCCGGATTTTTTGTTCTAAGGGAATTCTGGATGAATAGCTTTCAGTGGTGGTCAAGGCAAAGCAAATAATGACATTTTGCTATCATAACTAAACTACTGTTTCAGTAACAGGGAGAGGTGTTATTGAACCTCTTGTTCCTTCTAGTATGGCTGTGCACCTGTTTTCCATAAGGTACAGAACTAAATTGTTTTGCTTGCATAGTCTGCAAAATCACAGCAAAATCCTTCTTCTTAAGATACTAATGGTGCTTAAATTTCACTTTGCATGTCATTCTGACAGTTGTGATCCAAATCCTTTCTGCTAAGAAGTGAAGCAATTGTTAGATGGAAAAGCATTTACAATCCAGATAAGCCTAAGGAAAAACTATTTTGCCTCCCCAGATGCAAAACAACAACAACTACTGCTTTCTTGAAAATTTGCAACAAATCCAGAAGAGAAAGAAAAGTCCTGATAGTGACAGATACTGTAAAATAATTTCTTATAAAAACAAAATAAGGCATCTCTAGAAGAAAGTAGAATTTCTAGATGAAATATATTAACTCAGCACTTAGGGTAATAGGCAAAAGTTTATCATCTACAGAACATGAGCACCATATGTTATCTTTCTGTGGGCATAGAGATGGATGAAAGCATAAGACTTTTTTTTTAAAAACCCAACTTTTTGGTTCATAAGCACTGTTTTCTAAAACAAGAGTGTTTATTCTGTTATAGAAAATGTCACAACCTTTTCCTTTTGACTTCCCAAATCAAGACTATTTATTTTTAAATCTTAGTTCCACGAGATGGAAATACCAAGACTTATTATACACCCACTTTCAATTAGTATATATAAAAATATTTGATGTAAAGTTTCCCAAGGAACATTTTCACATGAAAAATAATACAGATTACTCCTACTAAGCTAAAAAGCTATCCTCAAGCTGCCTTGAGAAAAAGTCTTCATTTTTAAGCAGTTTGATACAAACCATTTAGCCCCAGACATTATCATTTCAAATTATTATTTACAGACCCAGAGCTAATTTCTCTGCTTCTGCATATTTTCTGATTTTCATCTCTAGTTCCATACGACGATGTTAAATATGTTTGGTTGAATTAGACAGCTCTAAGATCATCACAACACGCTGCAGTCCTATACGTTTCATTAAATTTTTGACTGCAAAACATCAAAACTGCAAGAGGTATCTTACAACGAAGAAGAAATGAAATCGCAGTAGCTCGGGAACAAGCAAAGCAATACTCCATCCTACCTCTTGAAGCTGCAGTCGAACTTTGCTAATTGCTCTAATCCAGTGGGCTCTTGCTGGAGGAAATGGTGGTGGCTCGTTGTCACCATGGTAGCTTAAAAGCAAGAAACAGAAAATCACTATATGAAAAACACTCACCTGTAGCATTAAAGACTCAACTACATGGTGTAATAACAGCTTCAGCTCTGGAAGCTGAAGGAACCAACAGGCTCCAGTCAACACACCCCTGCACACGCTCCGGGAAGTGAGAGGCTAAAGGTTTCCTTATACACAGGAATTGTCTTGGAAATTGATGAGCTGAAAGATATAAGCTGTATATAATCCAGACCCAGGAGCAAGATGATGTCTGAGAGAACATAACAAAAGCTGTCCAAGGCACATGACCAAGCCAGTGCAACACACTGGTATCATAATTACACACACAAAGAGGCAGATGGTGCCTGTTGCAAGTTCCTTCTAACCACTGCCCTTTCCTACTCACCCCTACTGCTACAAATTTACAGCCCCTCTTCAGTGGAAACACTAGCAACAGGGCTCAGCCTTGTTTTCCGCTTGTTCATTGAACCTTTGTCACTCCACCCTTTCCCACAGCTTTTCAAGAGGGAATGTGCATCTGTCAGCAAGCTCCACTTCAGCGCCCCACAGCACATGTTGCACTCCCTAACCTCGTGGTACCTTGGGCTTTTGGTTGCATTCCTGCTTTTGTATGTTGCTGAGGTGTAAATCGCCAAAACAAACATCTTTTCCTGCCTGCAAAGCACCCACTCCACGCTGTTGACAATACTAAACAACCCCACAGCTGAAAGCATCACATATCCATGCCACACATCTAGCTCAGGTGCAACTCTGAGGACCAATGTTCAGAGCTCAGTTCCATGCATACTCCATGGAGACAGGAGAGCATTGCCAGAGAGTGGAGAGAAAGGGCGCCAGTGATGTAGGAGCATCCAAGTTAGATGCTTAAATTAGCTTGAAACAGCCTATGTGAATAACCTTCCCTGTGAACAAATATAGGCCAGCCATTCTGGGACAAGACTCCTGCTGCTCTGTAAGGAGAAGAGGAAAGTGAGTCAGAGTTTAAAAACAGTTTAACACTTTCTCTAGTCTTGTTTTCCTTTTTTCATCTTTAGCGTAAGGCTTGCCTACACATGAACTCTTGTGGTTAATTCTACCATACAAGCACAGTGACACCAGCTGTACCCTCCAAAGGGCAGAGACAGGCAGACATCTTTCCATGGATCTAACTGAACCAGATAAAAGCAATCCCTCATACTTATTAAAGTATAATCTTATCCACACTAGGGTCTGCAATGACTTGATTACCTCAAGGAAAAATGTCACTCCCAAATTTAAGCAGTGGAATTTGAAATTCCTCTAAAACCTGTACAAAACCCAGTACACTACTCCCCTAAACTTAGCCAAAATACTTTTGAAGTCTGTTTTCAATACTGTACAAGGACAAGAAAAGCTGCAACAGTGAGTCAGATCAACATGTCTATTCATACTGTAATTCTACAACCTACAACTACATAAACACTAATGGTGGTAGTCTACTACAGAAGAACTGAACTAGTGAAGCTCTAACCATGACAACATGGATTTCTTGGTTGCATAAACCTGATCCCATGTGAGCAATGGAAGCAGCTACTTTTGGGCCAGAGTACATTCATCAAACCAGAAACAGGAAATACAGCAAATGAGCTTCAAGGCACTAGCTGGTGTTCCTCTTCACATACACTGCAAACATAGCTTAACCTAGCCAATGTCACATAAATAAATGTTCCTGCACAATAGATGTTTCACAGGTCAGCAACATCAACTTCGTTGTCAGAGAAGGCTGCAAGGACAATGTACACAATTCGCCCCAGGAAACAGCAAATTAGAAGAACCCTCTTTGAACTAATTGATAATAACTAATTGAAATTCACCTACCTCATTTGGACTTCTGCCTCAACATCCTTGGGCTTCTCAAGTTCCAGAGGTAACTTAGCTGCAGGATGGTCTGCCTGTTTTTCCTCTGCCTTGCAGAGCTTCTCCTCCTCTCCTTTGCCATGAGGTTCCTCTTGCTCTCTGAGCCAAGCCTGACCATCCTTCTGGTAGCTGCCCGAACTGTGGTAGGAATGATTCGACTGCCTTTCCTGGTGATCATCATCCTGCTCAGAGCCATGGGCACTTTCATGGGAATGTTCCAGCTCACTTAGGTGAGAGCTTTCCTGGCTGACATTGCAAGAGGAGCCATATCTACTACTGCCAACAGGACTATGAGAGAATAAGAAAGTCCATCAGAAAAAATAATGGATTGGAAAAACACAAAACAATGTGCACATTCAACAAACTGAGTAGAACACTAAATATTACTGAAAACATATGTGTTATGGAGTCAAACATATTTAACTACTATGCTCTTATGACTATTATCTAGACTTATGAACCTCAAAACTTTGGTAGGCAGTAGAAATACTTCATACACAGCCTGTCAGCATATAGACCATATATGTTTTATATATATATATATATATATGTATATGCGTATGTATACTTTTATATATATACTTATATATGGTCTATACATATATATACCTTGGTCTTTCCTGCACCAAATACTGTTTCACCTTACATCAGCAAGAAACTGCCAGTGAAGATATTCTAATAACCAGACAAGATTAATGGAATCATAGCAATTCAGAGTGAAAGTGTTTCTGTCTTCTGTGGTTTTGCTGCAGCTAGGGTCTTTATCATGACCATTTAAGCTGATTATTATTATTAAAAAATACAGTTAAAGTTAACTTTATTTTTATATATTGCAAGTTTATGATAAAATACACTGCAGTCAAGATTAAGATTGTCAAGACTCTCAACTTAAAACCTTTCACAAAAGTGGAGCAATTTTTCAAATGAAAGCCACATGTCTCTCTCTAATAGAGCTTTCTCAATAACTCGTTTTATATAAAAAAAAACAGAGCCACAGGGGTGTGATCTCTCTGATTCAAGACACCACTTTCAGGACTGAATTCCTAGAATCCTCAAACAAAATACAGCAGATGGAAATTTCTCATGCAGTCAGGAAAACTATGGCCAAGAATAAAGCAGCATTCATATTTCTCTCTTGTAGTCTTTGGAGAATTTGAAACCAGATAGGAAGTTTATGAGTGCAGAGTTGCAGCTGTGTGATCAGAAGAACAAGTTTCCCTTATATTACACAGAAATATGTAAGTTTAGTGAGTCTCTGTTTTGATTTTTGAAGGCGATTGTAACTTAACGCAGAGGACTTAATACAGCCTCATGAAATACCAATACCTTCCTCTAGTGGTTTTCATAACTGCATGAAATAACCTTCTCACAGATTTTAGGAAAAGCGAGCATTAGAATACCTTCACTGATATCTCTGATAATGTTTTAATATATTCGGTAATATGAAATGAACCGAAGTACTTCTATAATGCATCATCAGTAAGTTAAATTTCTCTCTAAAAGCCTTTATCTTGCATTTTGAAAACAAAATGCTCCTTCCTACCAGTACTTTCTACCCACTGTTAGTTTTTTCTTGGCAAATACAATATTATTATCACTAAACAAGAAAGCAAAGTGAATCATATGCAGCAGAATTAACACACAAATACTTCTGAGAGGCTACTGAAATCAGCACTAGAAGCATTTCATTCAGTGGCACACGGTATAAGAACATAGGAAATTCAATTACACTTGCAGAAGAAAAGTGGAAAAAGGTGAGAAAATGGTCTAAGGGCTTGTACATAACTGCAACTGCAGTTTGCCATAACCTCTGTGACAAACACTGACAACAGATAGGGAATGGGACTGAGCTACAAACATCAGGCACCAAGGCCATCATCTACTGCTGCAGTGTTGCATTATAAATGGTCAAAACCCATTTATTATGCCTCATTTGTAACTAGCCTTTTCTCATTCTGTTGTTCCACGCTCTGCAGATCTGCAGCCAGTGTGTCAGGATGAAGCACTGCTCCATCAGGAGCAGAATCAAGCCCAGTTTCTCCCAGTTCAAGCTTCTCTGTCACATGCTCTTCTGCCTGGTCGTCTTTCTGCAGTTCACCTGAAATCACGTTCTGCTGATCTTCTGACTCTTTACCAAACTTCTCTCCCAGCTCTTTGCTGGATGTATCATCAACAGTGCTTGCACCAGATGGCTCTTTGGAAAGTTCATTGTCTACAGTGTCAGGCTGCTTTGAAGACAACTTTACTTCTATATTTGCATCTGTCAGTTGATCTGAAACTGCAGACTTTGAGTTTTCATCTGAACTGACTGTTCCTAACACCTTGTCATCTGGTTTTGACAAAGCCTGTGGTGGCACATTTGGTTCCTTTTTGGCAGAGGTCTCCCTGATGTCTTTTTGCCAGGGAAAGGAGAAATCTAGCTTTTTCCCAAATACTGCTCCTTGGGCACTCTCTGGCTTACTCACCTTTTCTTCACTACCTCCTTCAAACAGAGATGAAGAAAGCTTCTTAAAACTGGACATGAGGCCCTGATCTGTTCCTGCTTTATTAACAGAGGGTGGCTGCTGAGAGAAGAACGACCCAAATGGCTTTCCACTATCAGAAGATGACATAAAGCTGAATTTTGGCAAACTGGGTATGTTTGGTATCTCAAAGACATTTTTACTACTATTTGTATCTGGAGGGACATTATCCTGTTTCTTCAAGTCAGATTTGGAAGCAATTCCTTCTGCAGGCACTTCATCAATTGCTAAATGTTTCTCCTCTTTGGTAGTTTGCTGTTTTACTTCACTTGTCTTATCTTCATTTGGCTGAAGCTGATGAACACTGGGCTCATCAGCTGGAGCTGTGGGTTCTCTATCATTGCTACTGATCAAGTCCTGCTGATCTACACCAGCATTGGCCTGATCCCCTGTAACAGCAGCCTCTGATTCAAGTGTAGCACTCTTGTCTAACCGGGAAAGGTTTGTGCCTGCCTCACTAGCTGGGGCTTCCATTTCGAGTGCAGGCTCATTAGTAGAGTCAGAGGGAAGGACGTCAATGGCTGCCTTGTCTGCAGGAGCAGCTTGTTCCTCTGCTACATCTGAAGACCCCGTATCTAGTTGGGAAGTACCTACATCAGTCTGGTCAGTGGCCTCAGTCTGCACTGTATCAACTGCATCCCTGAGATCAGACTGGTATGGCTGAGTATCTACCACCTCAGAGGGTTGTGCTTCCTTATCGAGCTGCAGAACCTCAGGGGCTTGTTCCTCACTACAGACTCCCGTTTCTGGCATGATCCTCAAAGGTTCCTCTTTACAGGTTTCCGAGTTCTGTCTTGACTCAGCTTCTGTTTTCATAGGAGACTCATTTGTGGAGTTCTCTTCTGCTGAAACAGGTAATACATCCTTCTTCACAGAGCTTGAGACGTCTCTTTTAGACTCTCTGGCTGTATCTGTATTTTCTGTCTCCTTAGAGTCTTTTGCTGGAACAGACCCAGTGACATCTTTCACACTAGTGCTTTGAGGTTTAGGGGTGGATTTTGGAGGCATCTCTTTTGGAGGTTCTTTTGGACCTTTGAAGATGCCAAAGAGATCATTTGTGAAAGCTGGTGCTGGGGCACTTGGGAGGGAGGAGAAACCAAAGAAAGAAGAGCTTCTCTTCTGTGCAGGAGGAGGTGCAGTAGCTTGAGGTTGTGAAAAGAAACCAGAAAATGTTTTAGGCGGTTTCATTTTTGTCATGAAACTTGAAAACATTTCAACTGAAGAATCCAGAACTGATTTATCACCCTCAGGTTCCTTAGGTTTGTTTTGAAAATTAGATGCCTCTGGCATTTTAGGAGGAGTGTGTGGCTCTTGTGCCTGTTTTAACCTGTCACCAAGAGTTTGTTCGGGTACTTTATGTTCTGGCTCTTGTGCCTGTTTTAACCTGTCACCAAGAGTTTGTTCAGGTACTTCATGCTCTGGCTCTTGTGCCTGTTTTAACCTGTCACCAAGATTTTGTTCAGGTACTTCATGTTCTGGCAACTCATGCTGTACACAGACTTCTTCAGAGACCGCTTCATTTTTGATGTCACTTGTACTACTTAAATCTTTTAGACCCTGGGAATCCATCTTATCACCTGAGGCCATGCTATTATCCATCTTTTCAGAAGTTTGCTCTTTTGAAGAATAAGGTTTTTCTTTATCAATGGGAAATTCAAGACTGTCCATTTTTTCTGTATTACGCAAAGCATCTTCTTCTGCCCCTAGGGAAATAGTCTGAGAACCTTCCTGCACAGTGGGAGTCTGAAGGCAAGGATCAGAAGCAGCTGAATTGGTTACTGCAGTGTCATCTGTCTGTGGAAGCTTTTCTAAGTCACTCTCTTCAGCTACTGCAGCAATACTTTCTATATTTTTCACATTTTCCACTGCCAGCATTTCTGATTTACTTTCTGGGATGCTGAGGTCATTAGATATTTGTTTGCCAGTCACTGCTGCAATAATATCATCAACTTCTTTTTTATTGTCTGCATCTTGTTGCCTGGTAGAACTGCTGCTTTTGACACCAGAGTCAGTGGAAACACTTTGCTTCACATGTGGCTTAGAGTCCACTGGTTTAGCCGGTTTTGTATTACTCTCCTCTCTATGAGCAGTTGGTGGCTTAGAACTCACTGGTTTAGCTGGTTTTGTGTTATTCTCCTGTCCTGGAGTAGTTTGAGGCTTTTCATCCAAAAACGATGTCAAATTGAAGAAGCTAAAGCTAGTGCTTCTTTGAGGTACGCTCTTCTCAGCAGATGGGCCGCTGGAGAAGAAGGAGGGCAGATGAAACAGTCCCTCTGTTTCTTGTTGCTTCCCGCCAGCAGGAGCAGCAGCAGGTGCTGAAGGCTTTGGTTCATCCGACCCAGTGAAGAAGGAGAATATGCTCTTACTGGCTGGCTGTGATTTCGGAGCAGTGATGTCAGAAAAGCTGAATGGCAAACTGAAACCTGACTCTTTAGGTGTCTGGTCTGGCTTCGGTTTTGTCCGATTGGCTGTGTCTCCTAAGCGATCTCCTGCTTGTTGCTTTGGTGTAACTGTGGGTGTGCTGCTTTGCTGCACGGTTGACTGGCTCAGCTGGTTTATTCTGGGACCTACACCCATTGGCTTCTGTGAAGCATTCCCAGGAGGCACTTTTTTACTCTCAGGAGGCCCCTCCACAGCTTTTCTGCTTTGTTGTTCCTTTTGCACCCCAGGACTAGGAGAGACCTGGTTGTCCATACCTTCCGTTCTCACCTCTTCCTTAGGGGTGGAGGACAGACACGGCATACTGGCACTCTGAAGACCCCCAGA